CAGCTCCGGGCTCACACGCAGGGGACGTGGGCGGTCGCTGGACTCGAGGGGAGTCCAGCGCGTTCCTAAGAGGAGGCAGGAAACGCTGTCGCTTCATCTTGCACCAAGTAGAACCCGTAGAGCCTGGCGTGTTGATGTCCCCACCCGCAGCACAGTTCATGTGCCCCGCCGTTGCCCTTGGAGCACCAAGGGCGCAGTGTCCTGGGAGCACCAGGTCACCTCAGTGGCTGAGAGAGCTGCCCTGTGCCTCCCCTGGGTGCCACATCTGCTCCTCAGCAGCATCTTCACCGCCCGGGGATGAGGCACCAGGGCTTGGGTGAGCTGCGGACACACAGCAAAAAGCAGGGGCTCTGCGCCCTCCTTTTTAGCAGCAGCATGTTAGAAGCTGACACGAAATCACATCTGAACATCAGCTTTGTGCTAACTCCTGTTGTTTAATTGTAGCGTTGATTTTCTGTGTGCTACAGGTAGGTTGGGAAATTACAAGGGCCTGTAGGGACAGGACAAGGGCAATGGCTTTAACCTGCCAGAGGGGAGATTGAGATGAGCTCTGAGGCAGAAGCTCTTCCCTGTGAGGGTGCTGAGGCGCTGGCACAGGGTGCCCAGAGAAGCTGTGGCTGCCCCATCCCTGGCAGTGTTCAAGGCCACGTTGGACACAGGGGCTTGGAGCAACCTGCTCTAGTGGACGGTGTCCCTGCCCATGGCAGGGGTTGGAGCTGGAGGAGCTTTAAGGTCCCTTCAGCCCAAACGAGGCTGGGATTCTGTGCAATCAGTGAGGATGTTAACTTGGATTTTAAGTCTGAAGCACTGTCTGTGACAAGCAGCAGAGCCCAGCACCCTGCTCATCCGTGTGCAGCACTTCCCTCAGTTCTGATGGCTCCAGCACATTTCGGAGCCTGGAACAATATCCTGTGCACCCCATTTCCCTGGGAGCAGAAATGCCCTTTCCCATCCAAGTGGGAAACCTGAGGCAAAGTGACTGGAATTCTCTAATGATCTCTGGCTCACACGGTAGATCAGGGCAGGACGTGTGTGGCTTCCCCCCCTCTCATCTGAAAGCCCTGAGCCCAACTCGTGCCTTCCCTATCCTGCAGACCCAGGCCCATGGGCCGGGTGCCTGTGGGGAGCTGAGGCACAGCACCACCCGTGGGTGCTGTACTTGTGGAGGCCCAGAAGAAGGGGAGGAAGGTGGGAGGGACAGACAGCACCCTGAGGACAGACTGTCCCACTCTCTCTCTTCCACATCAGGAAGCATCTTTGTGATGTTTGCTCCCCCCAAAGGCTTCATGTGGGAGCACTGGTGGCATAGAGTGGGGGGTACCCCATGCCAGGGAGGTGCAGGGTGATGGTTTCCCACCTTGTCCCAGGCCCTGCTGGCACTTGTGGGTGTGTTTTCATACAAACTCTTTTTTCCCCTCTTGCTGCTGCTTGTCATGGTCAAGGTCTCCTGATAACTTGTATTCTCAAGTGCAGTGTTATCCCAGCTGGCTAAGGTTGGTGTTTGGGTTTGATTGTTTTGCATACAGAAACTGTGGAAGCACATCAAGCACAAGTATGAGCAGAGTGAAGACTGACACACTCAGCAGCAGGAGCCAGCCCAGGGTGGCCAAAGACACTGAAGAGAAGGATTCATCTTCCTGAAACTGGTTGTATCAAAATGGAAACAGGTTCCTGACTGAACAGCTCCGAGCCAGACTGTATCGTTGATGTAAAGCCAGATGGACTCCAGGAGTTCTGCTGCTGTCCTCAACATTGCTGTGTTCAAATAAAAGATTCTTGGTCCACATCTCGTGCCTCTGACTTACCCTGACTGTAACTTCTCATTATAGAATCATGGAACAGGTTGGGCTGGAAGTGACTTTGAAAGCTCATCTAGTCCAACCCCTGCGATGGGCAGGGATATCTCCAACTAGATCAGGCTGCTCAGAACCACATCCAGCCTGGCCTTGAATGTTACCTGGGAGAGTGCTTAAATACACCTACACCTTAGTTCTAAGGCCCTGTAAGAAAGCACAACTTCCATAAGATGGTCTGAAAGACCTGAAAGCACTTGTGCAGCTGTGGTCTGAGTGCCTGTGAGAGCTTTCAGAGAGGGCTAAGCAGCTGTCTGCTTTCTTCTAGGCTTGTTCAGGGAAAAGTGGGGATCATTCACATCTCCTGGCCTGCCTCCTTTCCCAGATGCTGCCTTGCCCTCAGCCCTTCCAGTCTCCAACCCTCTGCTGGGCTGAGAATGGGCACAGCCCATAACTTTCTGTTTCTCCAAAGCTTAGAGCAATGGGATGCAGATCTCCTTCCAAGCCATCTCTGTGCCTCCTGGCTAGTTGAAGGGCTGAAGGGACAGAAGTGTCTCACCAGGGTGGTGAGGTAGGGTATAAGCCTGCCTCCATCCTGTCCTGCTGGGAAGGGAGGACAGTCCTTGGCTCTGCACCCCCTGGCTGGGAGCAGCAGTGTCTGAGGGGAAGGAGATGTTCTCCTCTCAGCAGCTCCACTGAGGAGCCCACCCCTGCTCCCAGTGGCCATTTCAAACACCTCTCCCTTCTTAGCAAAGGGCTATTTGGGTACTCCTTAGGGTAAGGATTCAGTTAATTCATCCAGGCTCTTGGGTAGCTGGAGGAAGATCTGGCTGAGTGACTCCTGCTCCTCTCCCTGCACCAGCCTGGAAGCCACATCTCTTCCCTCCTCGCTGTATTTCCACTAATCAGGAGGCATTTTAGCAGTGACTGAGGCAGAGCAAATTGGAGGCAGTGCTATTGCAAGCAGCTTCAGCGGGTTTTCAAATTGGTGTCAGGAGTAAAACACTTAAGTCTAAGCACAGAAAGAGGACTTGAAAAAAACACTGAGCTTGTGGTTTGTGAGCAGAAACCAACTTCAGGTTTCAGAGTCCCAGCTGCACTTTAAAGAGATGCTTCAGAGGATGGCTTAAGGTTTCCTGGAATGATTTCACTCTCTGGCTGACTCCCTGCTTTACCACCAGCTCTGCCTGCAGTGCTGAGGGCTTCACACTATGCTGAGCAGCTGAGAGATTTGCAGGTGCTTAGAAGCAAGAACTAAAGATGACTCTGTATTAGGAAGGGGGAGACAGTGGTGTAGCAGGCTGGCAGAGAGTAAAGCTACTGGTGCAGGGAACAGCAGCTATAGAAGAGCAGAGTTAGTTAACCTAGCAGGTGATTTTCCCTGACAAGGAAGTTGGGGAAGCTGGTAAATGTAATTCCCTTTTTCCTCTGCCTTATCATTACTGGGGTTGCAAAGAACAATCTTGTCTGGAGCACTCAGGACTCGATCTTACTTGCACAGCAGCGACAGGCACTTGTGCACTTGGAGGAGAGCCCGGGTTTGGCAGCAGCACTGATCACAGGGCGCCGGAGTCCCGCCCTCTGCAGCCACCTACGTGCTGCCGAGCTCAGTGCCAGAACGCTCCTGCTGCGGCATTCCCAGCAGGAAGGCAGCGCTGGGTGCACCCTGGAGCATCACCCGCTGCTGCTGTCCTCAGCCACAGGCACCTGTGCAGACCGCAGGGAATGGTGCTGGGGAGATGGCACCGGGAGCAGGTTCACTGAGCAAAGCCTGGTTGTTTACTGCGAGCTCACCTCCACCATGGGGGCAGCATTCCCAAAAACGTGCCAATGCTCCGTGGCAACAGCGACTGGAACACTTCCATCACCAGCTGCTGGCAGATGCTCCAGCTCCTGCCACGGCATTTGAACACCTTGCAAACGGGTTACAAAGCGAACCGTGTGTCTCCCTGCTGAGGGAACAACCCCGTAATGAAAGACCTCTCGGGAGAAGTCCTTCCAGCAGCTACAAACTGCTGGGTACTATTAGCTCCCAGCCTTCCAACAGCAAACAGGCTGCTCGGGGCAGTTCGGCTCCATGGATTGTGACAAGTGGTTATTGAGGAGCAGCTCCCTGGGGACTCTGACCCTGCTGCTTTCAACTCCAATTCCACACTACTGCATCTTGCTTAGGGTGCCTTGATCCTGATTTTCAGGTCTCTTTAGTCTCAGTGGCTGTAGCCAGATCTCATTACACTAAACCAACATCAAACAGCAAGTGAATTTCACTGCCTGCAGGTACAGCACGTTAAAGGCTTGTTGAGGTTCCTCCTACTTAAAGATCAATAGGGTTTGTAAGAGCCTAAAGCACCAACTAAAAGATCCAAATCATTTATTTGCACATTCTGTTTTCACACACCTCACTCTAGGGACAGAGATTCATCAGGTCTTATTCACCTGAACTCCTGTGTCTGCCAGCAACAGGAACAGCCCCAGTGTTTTCCTACCAACCTTCCAGTTGTACCTCAGGATAAGGCATATCAGCAGAGCAGAAAGCTGTGAGGGCTGTTCCCGGGAAGCCTGGCTCTTGGAGGGGCCTGGAAACCCACCTGGGTGCTGGGGAGGGTGCAAGGAGCCCGTAGGAAAATAAAGTTCTCAGAATTATAAATAGTACAAAAGGAAAGGAAGGGCTGGTGCAGCCCATGGGCACACACACGTGTTTCTCTGACCTGGAGAGCAGTCAGCGCCGGCCTGGAGGGCAGCTCCTTCCCGTGAGCACCCACAGGACCTGCAATTCCACGTGAGCCAAAGTGCCAGGTATTGATCCCGACAGCCCTGAGCTAAGGGAGCACTGAGGGAATGGAGCACAACTGCCTCCTCCCAGGCAGAGGACTTGCGTGGTGCAAAACTGCACTAAGAAGACTCTCTCAGGAGGGGATCATGCCTTTACTGCGCTTCCTGTCAGCCATGGCGCGGCGGTTGTGGTTCGCTCTTGTGCTTTTGTTTGCTTCCTTCTTCCTCCGTTCCTGCACTGTCTCCCGGTTCTGCCCATGGCCCTTCACGTTCCCAACCACAGCAGAGCTGTCGTGCTTGTACCTGGAGTACACAGAAAAGGACATCACAAGCAGCACACTGCACCTGGGGGACAGAAATACACCGATCCTGAGAAGCAGCTGGGTGTGAGGAGCAGTTCAGACACCCGGCCTCGAGCCTCAGCTCAGCCCAGCTCTGCAGGGCTTCTGCAACAGCCAGGATCAGCACTAGCCACACAAGGACCACAGCCTAAAACCAGCCATTAAACAGTCCCAGAATCCCTGTGGGAGCTGTTCAAGCTCTGGGAAGCTGTGCTCTCTCAGATCCTATCTTGCACAGGGTTCTGCTGTGTATGATAAAGGGATGTCCCTACCCATTTGATGGGACAGAACAACCAGCAGTGAAGTAGAAGCTGGGCGAGGAAGTTACCACCACCATGGCAGTGACCCTGACGTACAGGGATGATAAGGACCAGGATACCCTCAACAACTCCTGCTACCTGCAGAGCCACTGTTTCACCCCATGGCAGCTGATGCTTACTCACCCCTTCCTCGCAAGGAAAGCCAGGCGTCGGGCTTCAGCTCGCTCCCGCAGCACTGCTGGGTCCTGCACAAAATGGTCCTACCATAGGAAGGAAGGAAAGAGGTCAGTAAACTCAGCAGATGCTGCCAAAGGCTAGAGCAGGAGAGGATTCTGCTGGACCATGGAACACAGTCATTTCACTGTCCAGTATCTCTTCCGGCTGAGCCGGCAGGATTGGTGTCAGTGACTCTAAACCTGACTGAGACTTGTTCCCTCTGCCAGAAATGCCATCAACACCCCTATTTCCAGTATATCCATGACAGCAGAGCACTAGTGACACTCAAAGTGTGCTGTTGGCATCACCTGTCTACAGAATAAAGGGGATGAAACCTCTCCATGGAGGTGAGGCAGAAAAGACACACAGTAAATCTTAACACAGCTCCAACCACAAACTAAGTATCACCTTTGTTCTTTCCTTTTCAGCTTCCTCCTCCTCCTCTTCATCCTCTTCCTCTTCCTCCTGTCCTTCCTCCTGTCCTTTAGTTCTCAAGACCTGAGGAATTGTGAATGGCCTAGAATTAAGACACAAACAGTCAGCAATGGAGACAGTGCAGCCACCAACTGAGTAGCAGCATCCTTTTGGGTTTGCATCCCAGCTTCCAAAAATGAGAATCCACAAATTTCATGGACTTGCTGCTTTTTCTGACGAGCAAAATAAAAAGAGACCCTGTAGTTAATGACACATTTCCTATGGGCAACTGCTCAGCCCACGTTCTTCACTGGCAATGTTCACTATGAAGTTCTTACTGAACATAATTACGGTTAAAAAGAGGAGCAGGTCAAGAAAAACCTGAAACCTCACATGGAATTTCTCCAAGGAAACAACCTTCCTCTGAGAGGTGGGGATCCAGCTCATTACTAAGCAGAAGTGAACTTTGCTAGGCTTTAGCTCAGCAGTCAGGGAGTATCTGTTGTACAACAATGAACCCTCGAACTTCCAGCCCAAACTCAGACAGAAACATTAATGCTCAGGAAGTGCTGTGCTCCAGAACCTCTAGGACTGGCCAGTGCTTATCCACAGAGCCCCTGTTTCATTGCTGGGCCCCATCCTAGTTTCACACAGGGGGAAATAGCTGGAGAAATCCATCAATCCTGAGCAGCAAAGGGCCTGAGGGGGTGGAGGCAGAATTTACCACATGCCTATAGCTCTTCTTTAATATGTATATATACACACATACACATTATCTATATATATGTGTTTGTGTGTGCTCAAATCCTATTGGAATTCAGATCCACCATCCCACTATCACAGAAATAAACGTAAAACCAGAAATGCCTTTGTTACTTCAAACCTACAGATCCACTAATTGTTCTTACTGCCTCCCTAGGAGCAGTGAGCACTGAGCACCTGAAACAGGGGGAAAGACCCGAGTGCCACGCTGTTACAGGCAAACCAGTAAAGGACTTAAACTGAAGCCTCACCATGTTTTAGGAGAGGGAAAAAACCATAGTGAAAGGGACAAAGGAAGCCCAAAGATCCATTTTGGTTTGAGGTTAGAAACAGTGACATCTTCATAGTACACCAGAATTTAAAAGGCCACTTTTAAAAGGTGGTTTAACATTTCTGAAACACAGGATTTCTGTCTCTGGCTCTTATTTCTACAACAGATATTCTACAATCCCCATTCCAAACTAACCCTTTGCTCCCTACAGCTAACTTATCCCAGCTGCCTGTCCTTGTGCAGGCTGCTGTGCAGTCCTGCAAGGGCTGGATTCCAGGTGTCAGAGGGGACTGGAAGGAGCAGCACTCTCGTTGTTCAGTTTTCCAAATGCTGAAGTTTCCCTTTGTTAACCACCGGCTGCACTCACTCCTCTTTATTCCAGACAGCACATTTACCCCGCTGCAGGAGCATTGCCTGTGAGCAGAAGTGCTGCTGAGTGCAAGTTCAACACAACAGCAAATTCCCCTCTTAGATGTGTTGATTAGTTGATGGAATGGTTGAGTCCTGCAGACACACGAAGCGGGAGCCTGAGGATGTCCTGGGTGCATGCCACAGCAACACCCCTACTGACAGGAGAGACCCAGATCTCCCTCCTGGCATGTTACAGAGAAAGTGGCTGCAGCAGAGAAAGGGCTGGCTTGAAGCATGCACATCCTCATTGAGAAATGAAGCCAAAAGCCAGTGCTGAACAGGCTCCTGTCAGCCATAGGTGGCCATTGCCATCACCCTCCCACCCACTGAAGCCACAGTACCTACCTCCTACTGATGAGCTCATCATCTGAGTCAGCATCATTTGCACCCACTTGGTTCCCATCGTAAGTGTCATCATACTCGTCCTCATAGTCCTCCCCGTAGAGCTGAGCCTCTCCCTGCGGCACAGGCAGCTCCTCCACCACCAGCCTGTACTGGCTGTAGCGCTCCTTCTGCTCTGCAACCAGGCGCTTGTCATTCAGCAAACTTCTGGTGGTGTCCTTCTCCTTCCTGCACACCACAGAAACAGAACCAGTGTGTAAAGATCTTCCCGAGAACTTAATTCCCCCTTTCCCCCGTTAGTAAGTGGAAGCTGAAGCAATAGAAGTCTCACCTCAAACTCTCAAACTCTACAAGCACTACTTAAGCCTATTTCCCCTCTGATTTACAACAGGGCTGTTTGTTTGGTTACTAAAACTAGCCACTCCTGGCTTGAAGCAAAGTCATTCTTCAACAGAAGCCCAGCAAGATTGCCCAGATAAGAACAGGAACTGGAGACCAACACTGTCATTTGAGACAGAAAGGAAGCTTTCACAGGAGGCCAAATGCATTTATACTCAAGCTGCAATTTTCAGGCCAAGATTCAGAACACCACAAGAAATCCCATGAATCTTGAATGAGAAGCTGTGAGGGTGAAGACTCAAGCCTACAAACCAGCTCTGCCAGGCCCAGAGTGCCCTCTAACATCTTGCTGCAGCATCGTCTCACTGCGGTAGCGACACAGCCGCAAGCAGGACCTGTGTTAGACTCCCTGCTGCAGACGCCTGAGTTCCCACAGCCAAGAACCTCAGCTTGCAAATGAGAGATACTGCAAAAGATAGAGATAGATGGGGAGAACCAAAAATGAGCAGTGCAGCAAGGAATCAGCACAACTAACAGTGGAAAAGCACAAACCAGAGTAGACTTGTGGCTGATTCAACCTGTCTCAAAGCATGTACTCGGTTTTTGTGAATTTAGGAGGCAAGTCAATGAGAGTCATTTTAAAGGGAGGACCAAGAAACAGAATTCTGATAGAGCTGTTACAAAGATGCTGTGTCTCAAGCTGCATAAGCATAACGCCTTTAAAGCGCCATTTTTCAGGCCAGCCAAGTACATGCTTACAGCAAAGCAATGAGGGATTGCACTGTCAAGTATTCACAGGACAACCTGCAGCCCTTCGAGTCCAGGAGGAACATGCATCAGTGGGGCTTTTTGAAAGAGCCTGTCCCCAACAGACTACCAGTGACTCCAGAACAGACAGAGTCATGTGACACAGAGCAAGCCCAGGGGTAGTCACCTAAGCAGCCTGATCTCCATTAAGAACCTCAAACCAATGTAATCTTAGGGATAGATGTGGTTCCCTCTCTTCCATGACTCACTCTGGTACCTGCCTGCATTCAGCTGCAAAATGCCCTACAAAGCATGTGGTTAGTTCACACATACCCAGCTGGGATAACATCTTCTGCTGGTATTCAACATGAGCCTGAACTAAGTGTTTGATAACTGTCTCCTGTTGAGCTGGTCTGATGACTGCAGAAGAGCTGCAATGAAATTTTTCAGGCACCAGTTCCAGGAAAAGCAGTGGGATAACTCCTCTAGACTCAGGGTGTTCAGGACTTCAGGTGACAGATTCAGCTAGCAATTATGGCTGGACAGGCACAGACAAGTGGGATTACTCTTCAGGATCAGCAGAGTCATGTGTATGCTCAGATATTCACTTCCTCATGTTTGTTTCTTTCCTCATCCTTGTGTGACTTTCTCTTTCACATTAACACTCCCTGCCCCAAACTGCTTATGCTTATCCACTTAGCAGCTAGTACAATGGGACCTGACCTCACCTGGCTCTGGAGACATCATGCTTAGGCAGCAACAATACTCTAAACACAAGCACAAGTTGTCTAAGAACAACTGTTTTGACAGGAAGACATAGCCTGAGGGAGGCTGAGACACCAGGAACATCAATAGTAAGAGGATAATTCTGAGAGGTCATGGAACAGCACAGCAAAGAGATGACAACCTCCCCAAGGAGTGCTATCACCACTTGAGAGAACACAGCAGCCAGAAGGCAATGCCACAGGAGCAGGATGCCACAACCCAGCTCGGGGATCATGGAATCCTGGCCTGGTTAGACGGGAAGGGACCTTAAAGCTCCTCCAGCTCCAACACCTTCCACTAGAGCAGGTTGCTCCAAGCCCCTGTGTCCAACCTGGCCTTGAACACGGCCGGGGAGGGGGCAGCCACAGCTTCTCTGGGCACCCTGTGCCAGCGCCTCAGCACCCTCCCAGGGAAGAGCTTCTGCCTCAAAGCTCATCTCAGTCTCCCCTCTGGCAGGTTAAAGCCATTGCCCTTGGCCTGTTCCTACAGGCCCTTGTCCAAAGCCCCTCTCCAGGTTTTCTGGAGCCCCTTTAGGCACTGGAGCTGCTCTAAGGTGTCCCCTTCAGGAGCCTTCTCTTCTCCAGCTGACCCAGCCCAGCTCTCTCAGCCTGGCTCCAGAGCAGAGCTGCTCCAGCCCCTGCAGCAGCTCCATGGCCTCCTCTGGCCTCGCTCCAGCAGCTCCACATCCCTCTTGTGCTGTTGCCCCAGAGCTGAACTTTCAACTTTCCAAGCTCCTCAAGTGATCTGCACAGGGAGCTCCCAGCAGGGTTATCCCATACACTGGCTGAGCTTGGACAGTGCCCTCTGGCCTTGTCCAGCTACTGCAGCACTACCCATGTATGCAAGACTTTGGGGAGGTGGGAGGTAACCAAGCACACAAGCCTCCTGCTGACAGGTTGCTGCCTGCACTCTGACCAAGGCAACACCATGAGGAGAAAGGTCATGTCTGCGAATTCTTAGCTATGGACACTTCCAAAGTCATTGCCTTGGCCAGAAAGAAATGAAGTTTTTGCCAGGCTGAGCCAGTACAAACACTACAGCACTGCTGCTAGGAGGCTGTTTGACTGCACTTGGGGACAGAAGCAGTTTTCTCCTGAGTTTGGTGCAGCTTTGCAACCAAAACCTGAAGTGGGAGCTCCCAGGGTCACACAGCTCAATCTCCAGCCAGACTTCTGCTTACATTCTGTGTACACCAAAGTAAAGATCACACTTGGCAAGTTGAAGTGTTCCACAAGAACCTAAAACAAGCCAGGGATGTTCTAGAGGTGACATCAATGGGAGCCTGCAGGGCAATGCCCTAACCTAAATTTGAATAGAGCATGGCACAGCACAACGTGTCAAACTGGGCAGAAAGTAAAAGAACTGCCCTGCTGCAGGGAGCTGACAGCAGCCGAACAACAGGAGCAGTCTGTACCCCTGAGCTTAATCGGATTGTGAAGGAGATGGCTACTGAAGCTTCACCTGGATCTAAACCAGATCACTCTTTACTCTCAGTTCTGAGCCACCCCAGGCTCACAGAGGTGGCTGCTCTTCAAGGTGTGTTCTTCAGTGCAGGTTGAACTTTAAGACCAAGAAGCAAGAGGCCAACATTACAAAGGAGCTTGGCAGAGCCATCTTTAGCAGCACACAGAGGAAAGCTCATTAGGAAACCCACTAACCGAAACCAACCCTCTAATAACATTCCAGTTTACTTTCCCAAAGAAAGAGGTGGGAAACCTTTTTGCTCAGCCTTACCCCCACCACACAGTCCTGCAGGAGGTTTATATGAGAAACAGAATTGCAAGGTTGCAGGAATTCATCCCTCCTGACACACAGGGTTAATAAAGGGTGCACGATACTCACCTCTTGCCCTTCTGGATCCGAGAAACATCCACTGAATCCCTACTGAAAACATCAAACTCATCATTCTGGAAAACATTATAGCGGGAAGTGACCAGAGGAGTTGGGTCTGGCTTCAGCTGCCTGTTAGAATGAAAGAGAAAGGGAGAATAAAACCAAAGGTGAGCTGGGGAGGAACAAGTCCTCTCCTTCCCAAGGCCTTGGGTTAGTCTTTGTCAGCCTCCAAGTCACCCACCACATGCCAAGGTCCTCTCTGTGGAGAGACTTGTGACTTGTTGTCACAGGCTACAACTCCTTCCTTTCACAGCCATGCTTCAGTACATGCACAACCACTGTGGGGCATGGGTGTAAGATAAAAGGCACTGTTTCTGAAGCTTATCTTTCTGGGCAAAATAAAGCACCTTACAGAAAGCAACAAGAAAACTCTTCTGTTCATTTAAGACTGAGTAAAACCATGAGCACCACAGAATAGTCACCAGGCTGCCTGGTCTCAGAAGAGCGACTCCGCAAAGCCAAGCACTAAGTATGATAAATTACATGCTGGAAAAGATGCCAGTAATTTTCTGCTGTTGATTTCAGGATATTTATCTTCCTGCAGCTCCTTCTTCACTCTCTCAGGGTTCCAGGTTTACATTTGCTCAACTTGTAAGTCAAAGGAGTGTTATTTTTACGTTCACTGTGTTGGTGCTGTGAGCTCAGCTGCTGGCTGCAAACGCTGCTCTGCTCACTCCTAAACCCAGCCCTGATCCCAGCTCTACATTTGCTATTGAACTGAGAGCTTTGTTTCAAGATGCAAAAGGCAGGAAAGAAAAACTAAATCCAGCCCTATCTTCTGTAACTGCTGGCTTGGCAGAAAAACCCCAACCCTTCCAAAAAGCCAGCCACCATTCGTGCCCAAGTCAGCAGATGTGACTGTGAGAGCACCAAGATTGTTGCAAAACTAAGATATTTTATATCATTCTCCTGATAGAGATGCTTTCCTTTTGAATGGCACAATGAGCCAGTCTGCCCATTCCCCCATGAAATGTGAACAAACAGCACATTCACATCCTGAGGCTCAGTCAGAAACTGCTGGTGCAGCACAAACACGTGCTGGCAGCTGCAGGCAAACTCCAACAGCTCAATCCTACTGCCTGCTATAAGCCCTGAGCCCCAGGTACGAGCCAGGGAAAGCTTGTCAAAGGGTGGATGAAAATGGAGCTGAATTGCACCTCCAGACTCTCCCTGGTTTAACCTGCATCACAAAGCAGGAGCCTGTCAAATAGCATATCTAACCCTCCAGGTTGAATTTTGGATTAACCAATTCCTCTGAAGATGCCTTTTCCTGCAGGAGCACTGGGAGTTAACACCTATGACCCTGGCCCCTGCAGCAAAATAGCTTTTTAAGGCAACACATTCTATTGCCCAGCCCAAGCCAGTGTCCCCATGATGCAATTTTAATGGTTCTCATGTGAGCATTTCATGTACAAGCGTTTTTATCCCCCATCACAAAACACAACCCAGCAGCTACTCTACTGAAATGCTGAGCAGTGAAATGTTCCAGTCCTCTGCTGGGACACAACGAGGGCAGAAAGCCAGTGACAGATAGCAGAGAGAAGCTCTCATTGCAGCTATCTACCCCCAAAAAGTGCACATTCAACTTCTCAAAGAGCTCTACAAGCGACAAACCCTCAGTAAGAACGATGTTCATAGAATCCCAGAATCCCAGCCTGGTTTGGCTTTGACTTATGACATCTGATACTCTGCTCTGAACAGCTTCCTCTCGCCCATGAATCATCCTGAAGAAGGATCCTTTAAATAGAAGCTCTGTTTCCAAAAGCTTTTGTCTAGAGAAGTTCTCCAGTTTGGATACAATTTGAAGCCTGCTTGCCTGGTAAATTTGGATGGCTCTGGATCAAACCTCCATAGAATCACAGAATGCCAGCCTGGTTTGGGTTGGAAGGGACCTTAAAGCTCCTCCAGCTCCAACCCCTGCCATGGGCAGGAACATCTTCCACTAGAGCAGGTTGCCCCAAGCCCCTGTGTCCAACCTGGCCTTGAACACTGCCAGGGATGGGGCAGCCACAGCTTCTCTGGGCACCCTGTGCCAGCGCCTCAGCACCCTCCCAGGGAAGAGCTTCTGCCTCAAAGCTCATCTCAGTCTCCCCTCTGGCAGGTTAAAGCCATTGCCCTTGGCCTGTTCCTACAGGCCCTTGTCCAAAGCCCCTCTCCAGGTTTTCTGGAGCCCCTTTAGGCACTGGAGCTGCTCTAAGGTGTCCCCTTCAGGAGCCTTCTCTTCTCCAGCTGACCCAGCCCAGCTCTCTCAGCCTGGCTCCAGAGCAGAGCTGCTCCAGCCCTCTGTTAAATGGTAACCCACAAACAAAACCCCCCCAGAAGACATCAAAGCCATGCCAGAAGCTGTCCCTCACCTTTGCATTGTTCGGTCCAGCTTATCCAAGTATGGCACCAGCTTCTCTTCTAGAATGTTGTTGATGACCTGCTCTGCGTTGTAACTGTACTCTTCCAGGCAGGCCAGGATGAAGCCCTCACCAAGGTCTGGCAGCAAATCTTTCACTTGAGAGATCAGAGAGTCCAGCTCTACCCCGGAGACCCTGGCGCTGGGCGCAGCCGCGGCACCGGCACACTGCACATACCAAAGAGAAGTGGGGGCACTGCTGGGGAGATACAGCAGCTGGGGGCAGGCACGAAGGCATGCTATGATAACCCAGCAGTCTGGGTGATCTGAATTTGATCACAAAGAAGTCAAATGCTGAAGTCAAAAGAAGAGAAATCAGCTAAGCTGTTTACACGGCACAAGGGCTATGACACAGACTTGGGCACACAACTAGTTTCGTGTGTCCCTGAGTCAGCAAGGACACTCTGGAGAATCCCTTCCTCAAATAACCTATGAACTGTGCATTAATAAATACAAACAAGAACTACAGTGATGAGACACAGCATTTGAATACATCACAGCAACAAGAGGCCCAAGCTAACAGGAGTTAGAAGCTATGTGCTCCAAGATAAAGCCAGGCTCCAGGTGTAACTTTGCTTCTCATTTCGCAAGGCACAGGAGGCTGCACTGAAATCTAGCAAAGGTAAGAAATGAGACTGAATCTCATGTGACCCCCAAACCTGAGCAAACCAACCCTCTCTTCACAGACGTGCAAGGTTAGGACAGCAAGAGCAGGACCCAGTTCACTCAGCTCTACTCACCTCATCCTCTGACCCACACCCAGCGCTGAGCTCCTCCATGTCCCCAGCAGTGCTCCCCAGTATCGCTGACGCTCCATTAGATGCCGCTGCTGGTGTTGGATCTTTAATGACTTGTGCTTTTTTCCTGTCTACCCCTTCCCATGCACTTTCCACTGCTTGCAGGATATAGGCTGTCCTGGTCTCATCTCTAAGAGGACACCATTAAGGACATTTCTAGATGTGCATATCCAGATGGTGCCTTGAAGAAAGTATGTGATTTGCAGCAACTCCCAAGCCCACGCCTCAATCAACCTTCATAGAATCCCAGCCTGGTTTGGGTTGGGAGGGACCTTAAAGCTCCTCCAGCTCCAACCCCTGCCACGGGCAGGGACACCTTCCACTACAGCAGGTTGCTCCAAGCCCCTGTGTCCAACGTGGCCTTGAACACTGCCAGGGATGGGGCAGCCACAGCTTCTCTGGGCACCCTGTGCCAGCACCTCAGCACCCTCACAGGGAAGAACTTCTGCCCAAGAGCTCATCTCAATCTCTCCTCTGGCAGGTTCAAGCCATTGCCCTTGTCCTGTTCCTACAGGCCCTTGTCCAAAGCCCCTCTCCAGATTTCCTGTAGCCCTTTTAGGCACTGGAGCTGCTCCAAGGTCTCCCCTTCAGGAGCCTTCTCTTCTCCAGCTGACCCAACCCAGCTCTCTCAGCCTGGCTCCATAGACACGACTCTCCCTTTTCTTTTTTAGGGGAAAACTTTCTATCACCCATTTCCAGTCCTGCAGCTTAACCAGAGGCAGCAATAGCGGAAATGCCACGGGCATGAAGGAATCCGAGGTGATGGTGAAGGATACAGCGTGGAGGACGCCTGCTGAAGTAGGCTGACATCATCCTCAACAGGAAACAGCTTATCATAATCACGGAGAAATCTGAAACCCCAGAAGCAAGTTTAACCAGTCACAGTCAGTCACCAGCAGACCTGTCACACACTGCTGGCCCTGCCACAATGCTTCGGCCTCCTCAGGCAGGGATACATCTAACCCCTTGCCCAGTATGGGACGCCAGCATCCACTGCCAAGTCAGATTATGCTCCCATTACACTGCAGCAAGACTTCACCACTCCCCCACCAGCCATCAGACCCCTGCAACACTCCTCAGGATGTGAAGACCCACATTACAGAGATATGAAGTGCCACAAAACAGAGAAAAGACAGTTTATGATTTGAAAATGATGAGAACAGCAGCATCCTTGGGAGGCCAAGATCGAATTCCCAGTTCTGCCACTTACTTTGCACCTGCAGCATCAGCACTAATCACCTTTCTGTTCTGGTCACCCCAGTTGAAAAGCAGAGATTAGTAATAGTCTAAGCTGTCCAGGTACCTAATGGCTAAATTGCTATCCTCCCCTTTGAAAGAGAGAGAAGAATAACATTCTCCAGCATTATGCAACACCCTCCTCACCTTACAGTAAAGGCTGCACTGCAGTGTGAAATCCTCTCACAGCAGCTCTTCCAACTAGTCAGAATGATTTCTAACTCCCAGACGTATCATAACGCCTCATAATAATGTCTCAGGCAATTCTGTTGTAAAGAATGGAAGAGGAAGGCAAGCTGACCCTCCCCTTGGGCCTCTTTGCAGCCAGACTCACCTCCTTTCCTGAAGCACTGAAGTGAAGATCTGTAGGAATTCCTCAATAAAAGGCTGAATGTTCTCACAGCTGCAGAAGACAATGGCACAGCGTGAACAACTGGTGGTAAGCATTGCACAACCTCCACATTCCCCCTCACTAGCCAAACTAGTCACGCTCACACATCAAGAGAAAATCCCATTTGAAAATACATTTCAGACCACTCTGAGGCTTTCAGAAGAGCAAAGGGTCAAATGGAAACAAGTTTTACCCCTGGAGACATCCAAGGCCGGGCTGGACGTGGTTCTGAGCAGCCTGATCTAGTTGAATATGTCCCTGCTCATGGCAGGGGGTGGGAACTAGATGAGCTTTGAAGGTCCTTTCCAACCCAAACTGTTCTATGACTCCTTGGCTTCAGCAAACATTTCAGCCAGCTGTGTCTACAGCTGTATCACAGTTAGAAATACAAGACTTGAGACAGACTTTACAAGTCATGCTTTGATGCCCCAAACTTGCATCATGCAGAAAAGGGTGTGTAGTGCTTTTGTAATTGTGCTCTTATTATATGCCTTCGGATTATAGCAGTGAACCTCCCAGAAAGTTGTGCTCACCTGGGTAAGAACACAGGCCAAGCCAACTCCTCCTGCAGCCTGTGTGTTATAACACCCAAACCTCCCACTGCTGCTGCTGCAGCAAGCCCACAGCCAGACCGAACACTCTGCAGCACAACAGTGCTGGGAAAAAGGCAGTTCTTTAGAAAAGTCAAGGAAGCAAACCCAGGTCTCTCATACGGAATTCCATCAACAGACCCTCCTCATCTTCCTGGACAACTCCACTGATACCAAATACTCAAGCAGAACAAGAGCTGCAGGGACCAGCAACCTTCAAACCCTGTAACATGTACAGGCGAAGAGAGAGCAGCCCGGGGAGGACAGGCTCTTGGCTCCATCCCCAATATGTAGCATGATTTTGGGCCACTGCACTTCTCTAACATAAGGACAGTTACACTTGCCTTCATTTTGAGATTACTCACAGAGCTATCAGCTAACAACTTTCACAATAGGAGGGGGGAAGAACCAGGTAAAAGCACCAGTATCTAGATTTAAAACGAGTGTTTTCACTCCATCACTCTTGCTGTGGTGTCTCAGTCAAGGTGTCTACACCCACCATTAAAATTTGCTATTTAGCCACAAACTGAGGTTAGGAAGTGTGTTGGGCCACAGCATCATCTCACTCTAGTGGGATGTGGAGTCAATACACACCAATTCGGGATCATACAGCTTTTCTGCAGTGCAGGACAACAGACTTCAATCTCAGCCAAAATCTATGGCTACAACCCCAACACAAGTAACAGCATCCATTCATTTTCCCCAGTAAATCTCCCTCAATGGCAATCAAATAACTGGCTGGTACCACAGGTCCCTGTGCCAATACCTGCTTTCTAAGATGGGCTGCAGACAGACTTGGTTTATTAGGATGTGAAAAGCTTCTACCATCTTCTTTCTGGAATGCGAAATTCTCCTCCACAAATCAGCAAAGACACTTCAGAGAGAGTAAAAAGACACTATTAACATCAGCACAAGAAATGTGAATCTTTAACACACCTTTACTCCAGAGTTAACCCTCCAGAGGGGGGATTTCATTAGCAGAATCATTTCTTTGCTGCAAGGACCAGAGATCAGAGCCACTTCCTAGTAATGAAGGAAAATCCATGTACTAGAAGTTGGTCTCAATCACCAACTAGACACAAGACATCTCAACTGTACCAGCACAGCCTGTGCCTTAAAATGAGACTAATCTACACATACAGATATCATTCCTGTTTTCATGCTTTGTTACAATTGGAATGCATCTCCCATCAAATTCTTCTCAGACAGCACTGCAAGAACTCATTAGTCACCTCAGTGCCCAGGGAAATCTGGAATTAGAAAAGTCATCTCCTTGGAGTTCTTTGAAGCAGCATAAAAAAGACAGAAAGACTCCGTGGAGGTGAGTAAAGCAGCATGAAGTGAATTCTTAACTAAGCCCTGGGAGAGTCCTATTGAACAGAAGAGGCAAAGCCCCTGCAGCCACTTTCACCTGTTGTCCTCATAGTGCCTCTTCTTGATTGCAGCTTCCAGCTCAGGAATTGCCAGTTCATAAAACGAAGCTAATCTGTAGAAAGGGGCAATGAAACAGTAATTGTCACCCGAGGTTTCAAAATTCATTTGCTAAAAGACAAGTCAAACTGTTCATGTCATTAGCACTCACTAGCATTACACCATTTTGTCATTTGTGCCCTGAAACAGGAGTAAATATGCTTTTGCCAGGGGCCTGCAGGGACAGGACAAGGGGAATGGCTTTAACCTCCAGAGGGGAGACTGAGATGAGCTCTGAGGCAGAAGCTCTTCCCTGTGAGGGTGCTGAGGCGCTGGCACAGGGTGCCCAGAGAAGCTGTGGCTGCCCCATCCCTGGCAGTGTTCAAGGCCACGTTGGACACAGGGGCTTGGAGCAACCTGCTCTAGTGGAAGCTGTCCCTGCCCGTGGCAGGGGTTGGAGATGGAGGAGCTTTAAGGTCCCTCCCAACCCAAACCAGGATGGGATTCTATGCACTAGACAGAGCAGCACTCTGAGGAGACCATCAAGGTATCTTTGAAGGTGTAGGCACAGAAATGGATTTGAAAATCACCACACTGCTAAAGAGAAAAGCAATCTGCCCAACAAAGAAACACCTCAACCACCATTCTGCAGACTGCAGAGAGCTGATATGCCTGAGCCCATCCCAAAACACCCTCTTCCCCTCCACTATCCTCATGGCCTCATCTTTCTCTGTGCTAAAACCAGATATGAAACTGGGTATGATTTCCAATAAAGTCTTACTGGTCTTGCTATTCAGCTCTGCTCTAGGTGCGCACTTAGGTGAAGGTATCCAATGTGCAGAAAGCCTAACAGCACCTTGCAATAGGACGGGATAAGGAGGGAAGAACAAAAGATAGCTTGGTCCAGTCTCACATTTTCCATGCCAGGCAGCCCACACAGACTCTCCTTCAGGGACAGAGTCCCGGGAGAGAAGAGTAACAGCCAGTGCTGCTCCCTCAGTAGCTGGCTGACACAAATCATGGTTTGCAGCGCTGTGCAGGAGAGCCAAGCTGAACTGATGAGCCGAGGCTCCATTAGGAACATTATGGCCATGTCTCCTATTAAGGACCAAACATGCTAAATGAGTATCCTTGTGGCAAATGTAGCAGAAGCTCATTGATACTTTTAGTCAGGGAGAGAAATGAGCAAGTGGCAGCAGATGGATTCAACCACACGGAGGTTCCAGGAAGATGACAGGTAGATCAGTTTCCCTCCCCACGCTCCAGAGCCCCAGACATTTGTCCATATTGAGAAGTAATGAGAACGTTGCTGTTGTCCCGCTGCACGGAGACCAGGACTATTTTAGCACATCTCTGACATCAGAGGTAGAATTAAAAGCAAAAGGCTTTCCTCCTGTGAGCAACCAAGCATGGAAGCTGTGCTGCTCACCAACTCAGCCACCAGCACTCTACCAATCTGCTGGGCCTTCAATAACCAACTGGATCACAACATCCAAGGAGGACAGAAAACCCATACCCCCCAGAGCAGCATTACTCAGCCTGTGGTCCATAAAGCACTGGCAGCTATGCTGCTTCAGAGGCCTGCAACACAACTGGAAACAAAAGCAAAATACAAATGTGTGCTCATTCCCAAGCAAACAAAACTGGGAAATAAGGACATAAATGAACATTTCAGTGGCTCCTAAACAAAGGCAAGAGTCTACAAGATGATCTGGGGGATTAAATACCTGGAGCAAGCTGGGTAAGTGCCACTCAAAGACTTGCAGCCTCTGTGGGAACACACTCTGCTGTCTGGTCCTCGAGACCATCCTGACTCATCACCACTGTGATCCAGAGCCGGGCTGGGAATTAGCTGCCAGCCCAGCTGAGATGACGCTGGCTTGTCATCCTCTCCCAGGCACTCAGCTTCTGCCAAACCTCAGTAATATTCTCCAGCATAAAACTCAGGCAGAACATCAAATAAAACCTTTTCTTTTCAGACCTCGATGGACTGTCACTCTGAAACACTTTCCACTTCCCTTGCTTCAGGCCCTACAGCAGGAAGCTCTTTTTGTCCACAGCTCTTATCTCCTTGCCCTCTCCACCCCACCAAGTGCAGAGGGTTTTGAAGCCATCATGGTTGTCCGGCTCTAGGATCACTCAAGGACAATGAGGAAGGTGAACAGATAACAGAGAGCTCCAGACGTCCCTATATTCATTATTTATCACTCTCTATTCCTGTCAGTGTGAACCTCACTGTCTCCAGTTGCATTGGCACAGGGTGCCCAGAGAAGCTGTGGCTGCCCCATCACTGGCAGAGTTCAAGGCCAGGCTGGACACAGGGGCTTGCAGCAAGTAAGCGCAGCTAGCCTAGGTGGACTCATCCCCTGCCTCTGGCAGAGGTTGGAGCTGGAAGAGCTTTAAGGTCCCTTCAAACCCAAACCAGGCTGGGATTTAGGATTAAATGTCCCTATCAATGGTGAAGGGACTGGGCCAGGACACAGCAGAATATTCAATACTTTTACTTCACCAAGCCCAGCTCCATCTGCAGGTCAAGATGTACCTGTAACAAAACTCATGTTTCTGGAAGGTCTGGCAGGCCAATGGGAAGATATCAAGGAATGCCCAGAGTGTCGTGCAGGTGTCACATAAGTACAGCACAATGTCCTTCAGCTCCTGAGAGAGAAAGAGCAATTACTGAGAGAAAAGCCAGGCAAGTTTTCCCAGGAACACAATACAACCAACAGGGACATACCATGTTCAGACCAAGCCCTGTTTCTGACATAGCACAAAGAGTCTGCTATGAATTATAAACACATGACACATTAATGGGTCTAGAGGCAGAGACAATGTCCATACTAGAACTTCTGTCCTTTAAAGACTTATAATGCAATCCCCACTGCTCACTCACATTCAAGACACTGTGAAATTACAAGGATCCTCAACATAGCCTTTTTGGACAGTGGCTTTGGCCTCCATATATCCTAGTCCACATATAGTATTGCTCCCCATCTAGCTGGAAGCACTGCACAGCAGTAACAGGAATTAAAGGGATAATTTCAGTGGTCCATTCCAGTGCAAGATGCATTTCCAGGGCAGCTGCACCACTCCCACACACAAGCTGTATTAGTAAGATTTTGCAGAGCACCCTCACTGACATGGGGCCTGTCTGTACAGCACCCAGCACTAAACCCCCCTCTTTAATTAACTAAAGTACTTCTGTTAAACAAACATTCCTGAATTAAACCCAAACCAGCTCTGACCACAGCCAGGGCTCCGTGGAGCCTTCTGTCAGCTACGAGTAAATTATGTTACTGACAAGCTGGTTAAGGGTTGGTTTAGAAAGAACCCATGACACAATGGACACGGTTGAAATGCACAGAAGCAAAGCAACAAGCTCGGGGTGGAAAGGCTTTGTCATCAAGTCATATGACAAACAGTGAACTAATGCCAGGGAACCATGTGCTGCATGAGCCACCCGTGTTTGGGAACAGAATGACCCTCTGTGGTCTCAGTACTCCCCAGACTGCAGGACAGCAAACAGCAAAGGACAAGGAGCAACAGTTCTACCTGGAGGGGCATGTTCCCTGGAGTCACATTTACTTTTTCTTCCAATTTCTGGGGCTCAGCAGAGGCTCCTTCGCACTGCAAACCACACTGCTGCAAAATATTGTTGAACACCTACATCAAGAGAAGGCAACAGTATCAAAAGAGGCAGGGGAAGGCAGTAGGAGATGCTTTACCTTAATAAGAATCACTGCTATGATCATGTATGCAAGCTGGGACTATTTCCCTACAACATGGAGCTGCGTAAGGTGAAAGCTGCAACAGACTCTCACAGGCTACAGCAGGAAGGGCCATGCTACACTTCTGAAACTCCATGCAGCTTGCAAGTAGCTGAACTGCAGCTGCATGTGGTTGTGGTGCCGAGACAGGGATTGCAGCTAAGCCACATGAGTAGCTGGGTGAGAAAAAAAAGCCAGCAACAACACTGGGAGGCCACCCAGGATCCCTGTTAGCAGTGGGATAACTGGGAAGTTAACAGCACCTCCCGCTTACGAGCTAGTCCCAAAGCCTTCCTGTTAGCAGGTTAGCAGGACAGAGTTTGTGACTCTTCTCTATAACCTAAGAGTCTGGGAGAAGCTGATGGAATTAGGTTCTGGATTGCTAACATCCTGTGCAATGGAAGGACCAAATGAAAAGCAACTCTACACGTGTACTGTGAGCAATTTGGCAAGTCCTCCTCCCCAAGACCTGGGAATGGGCAGCTAAAGGTGCTCAAGTTCCATACTTGGGGTCAATATTGCTATTCTACAGGACACATAAGCTCCTGAACCTGCAGAGGTATCAACCCCTTTCAGTGACAGTGTAAGCACATCAATAGTTTTCTGGATCAGTGATCTCTGAGCTGTTACATCCACACACCTGAGAAGCAAGGGCATGGCCCTGCAGCAGTCACCAACACACAGCAAAGAAACCAGTGCTCTGCAGAGAAACTGCTCCAACATGGTACATCACAAAAAGCACCTGGAATCTCTCCTGCCCTCCCACTGATGCATTTGAAGGTCTGGTCTTGCATCCTAGCTTATTTTTTAAACAAGGTTTAAAATCCTCTGGGATTTACCTCTGAAAGTTTCTTCCCACACAAGGAAAAAAGGATGTGGGCTTTCAAGAAGTGACATTATTGGTGTCTTGGAGTAAATGATATCTTGGGTTTGTTTATTTTTGAGGACATATATATGACATTTTCAGGCTATAGAGATGTCAAGCACCTTGATTTTCCCCTCAGGTTAAATATGAATCCCACTTACTGAGCCTGGGGAATATAAAAGCTGCACATAAAAATGAAAGCTTAGACATGGAGAGGTACAAAACAGCTTTTGTATGGCAGCAATGCATCCCTTCCAAGAGATTTCCATTTACTCCTGAGCAGCTGCAGTGCTAACATGAACCCATTCCACTATGTCAAGTAGACACATCTATGGTCCCTATTTTGCTGGTTTAAGTTTCAGTGCTTCCCCCACTTGGGGTGGGTGGGGGATACAAGGAATACTTTTGGAGCTGCCTAATGAAAACTCCTCAGATTAACTGCAGGGAAGGCAGAAGCTGAAGGAAGGTCATAGGAAACTGTGATCAAGAAATAGTTTTAGATAAAGGTTCCAAACCTGCCTGAGACACATTAGCATCAGCTCAAGAGTATAAGCACTACAGATGCATTCTGCCTGCCTTGACCACGTTTGCTCCCTTCCACCCTTTAAGCTGTGCCACATTTCCAGAGGAAATCCCAACCTTGGGCCAAGCAGAAGAGCAGTACCTGGAGGACAGTGGGCAGGGTTTCGTCTAGGTCACTGAAGTAACTTGGTTGTTGGGTGAATATATTTCCTGAGAAGAGAAAGGGGGGAAAAGAGACCATTTCCCATTAATTCAGACATCCACGGCAATGAGCAAACGTGCACCAGCAGATGTGCTGGTGTTATTGCTGATATCCCCACTCCAGATCCAGATAATACCCGTTTAGGACACGGGCAAGGCTCCCTCCTCCACTCCTGCTCAGTCTGACTGACAAAGCTGCTGTCAAGTCACCAGTGCAACTGCAGAGCAAAGGAGATGTGAGACAATTCCTCCAGAGGCTGCTACAGTGAACAATGCAAATACTATCCCTGAACATTCCTATTCCTGTATTTGACAACTGGAGTTGACTTTCAATTACTGAGAAGAGCTCAACATGTGCTGGGAAGTGTTCTGCAGAATATTTCTTCAAGGTAATGAGGCTTTAGCAATACCTGCTATTGTATTACTAGGGCTTCATTATCTCTACAAGATACTCCACTGATGAACAGCACAGCATAAATCCTCAGCAAGTAAGCCCAGGAGCTGCCTGTTTTCCTGTGAGTTACTGTTCAGACCATGAAAATTAACAGAGTTAATGTCCTTATCCAAGGGCAGAGCATGGGTAAGAGTTATGATACAGGTCTCAGAACAATTTATACCCTGAGAAGAACCAGAAGTTGATCAAGTTCTGAATTACACCCCAGAACTGCGGTGCTGTTACCGTCACAACACAATCAGGTGAGCAAATCACTGGTCCCCCCCATGCAGCATTACTGCATTGCACTCCAGAGCACACGCAGAATTCAAATGAGGTTTCACACACTTGGGTCTTCTTCGGAATATTTTAAGAGCCAGATAACCTAAGCTTCACCTCTGAAGGAGAAATACCCATCCTGTCATGCCTCCTGTCCACCTCTGAGGCTTGGCAGGTGAATTCAGAGTGGAAGTTACTGAAAGAGGATAAAGGGGTTAAAAAGTGCATAGGTTTATCTAAGCTTTTCTGGCCTGGTAATTTGGCTGCATCACATGAGCTCATGTTAGTCAACGTGGAAATGAGATAAAAATAGCTACCAAAGGAAGGACAAAGTTTCATTGCATGAATGGCAGACAATGTGGGTGAGAATTTAGGGAGAAGAGCTCACATCATCCAAGGTTAGGTTCTCTTCCATCTGCTTGGGTGGATGTTAAAGATCACAAGTGGTTCCGTGTGAAGAGAGCACAGGGTAAGTGCAGCAGCTAAACCAATGTGCCCCACCTTCATTATACAGCGTGCAAGGCTGAGATGTTACTTAATATGCACTGGCCACCCAGACTGGCTGTACAGATGCAGGGAAATCTAGTGATAAGCACAGCTTGAGCAATGCCCAGAATGCTCTGTGGTCTGAAGGTCTGCACTGAGATTTCAAGTTCTCCTGCTTCACAGACCACAGATTACCTCACGTTGCACATTCCCCTTAGCTCCCAACCCCACAAACACTCACGTGAGCAGATGGACTGTGCCCATCTTCAGACCCTCCTCTCTCCCTGCCCAGCAGTTGAGTTGTTTCCCCCTTGCCATCTCTACAAGGATTTTACAGAGCCCTCATGGTCCTCTTACAGTGGCTGAGGACACATTTTATTGGCATTGGGCAACAACTGCTGGGGCCTAACTGAGCCTTGGTTCACGCCTAATGCCACAAGCCCCACTCAGCACAGCTAAGCAGCAGGACATAAAGCTTTCAGTGACATCAATGGAGGTCACAAGTAAAAGTAATCTGATGTAGAAATTACAGATTCTAGTTGCCACTGACCATTTCCTTTTCAGAGCAGTTACACTGGTATAAAACCCCACTTGCCGCTCTATGAGTAAGCAAAATGCAACACATTGTTCCTTGGCTTTAACTAACCGATCATCTTCTGGAGAAGGAGACCATTTCCTTTCCCAAAAAGCACACAGATATCCAAGATCTTTGGGATGTCAAACAGGAAGTTATTGTAAATTATTTCTCCAAAGACAGAGGGGGTGATAAAATGATCCTACAAAGGAAAAAAACAAAACCAGTAATTTAAAGGATAATCCATATCTTACTCTGCAAGAGCTCCAGCATCATAATGACACCTGTAAAAACATCTCCCAAAGGTGTATTCAGGATTTGGTTTCATAGAAGGCAGCAGCTCTGCTTACACCAGCCTCTGCAGCACCCTCCATCCCCACTGCTTGTCACTGCCAGGACACTGCCCATCCACATGAAGTGAACCCATCAACATAAAAGTTAAAAGAAAAAGCTCCTACAGCTCATTCAGTTCCCAAACCTGGCTCATGACATGGCCAAAGAGCTGAGCTGACACAAGAATGCCTCAGCCCAGGTGTAGGAATAAGAACTAAGCATAGGAACACCTTAACTGGCACCAACACTGAAAAACACCTCTGAGATCCCAGCCTGAGGTTAGTGGTACCCTGGAAGAGCAGAGTCAAGGCACAAAGGACAACTGTATTGGTGACAAGTAGGAAGCAAACCTGGGAACTGCAGCTCTACATCCTGGCTGCTGGAACAGTGCATCAGAACCACCTGACTCTCAACACTGCAGGAATTCTGATAGAATTCCACATGACAAGTGTCTCTGACACTGAGAAACAAGCAAGCTAAACCGTGACTTTGGAGTTTCAGATGAGGATTTGCCTATGGTGATGAATGTGTCCAGCCCCAGTGACAGGCAGCACACGCATCCTCTGCTTCAGCGGAGGGACAGGGCTGCATGCTGGCTGGGGCCAACTTCCAGAGCTCCTGCTGACCGTCTGCAGGACAACAGACTATTCATTCTCTTCAAATTACTCAAGTATAACTTGGTGTCAGATGCTCACTGCCTCACTGGAGGGGTAAGATCTAATCAGCTCCTGGAATGAACAACACCACAGAGGTGTCGAGTGCTGCTGCTGAAGTGGTGCTAGCTGCAGGCTCCAGCATTCCTTCTACCTGTTCCCGCCCTGCTCCTCCACCTCCCACTCCAAGAGCTTTCCTCAAAACATCCTGAATGTCACCATTGTGACAATCAAGAGAATCAATACAGCACTAAATAATACATCATGAGCTGAGAATATCAAGGAGTAATTGCTCAAACACAAGGTGCCTCACTCACTCACTCATCCTGCCCACAGGCCTTGTGAAAATTCCACAGCTCCCAATGGGAGTCGCACTCACATGATTAGGGCTGAGTGTGGCTTTCAATTACCATGCCAAGAAAACAGTAATTTAGAGCAATTTCATTGTGTCCCAAAAACCTGGGGAAAGTTCAAGGAGGGCCAAGGATCAGGACAGGTGATGTGACAGTGTGGCACAGAGGAAGTGGCACCAGGCCCTGCAGAACCCCTGCGCCACAGAGCTGCACAGTCACCAACTTGTTTGCTCTTCTCTTCCAGGGGTGTATCACACCCCCACCTGTGGCTAACCTGCTATTACTGAGCTGCCTGCCTGGATCTCTTTCCTAAGAAACCATCTCATAGTTCAGGTGCTTCAGCTCTGAGTGGTTATCATCTCCATAGAGTGAACAGGCTGATGAAAACAGCCAGGGAGAGGAACAGAGCTGGACACACAAGGAACACCATTAATTCCTCTGTGCTTTTCCTACGCTGCCCAGCCCAGAGCACCCGGAAGGGAATGAAATCCTCACCTTGGACTCCCTGTGAGTGGACATCCTGAGGAAGGTGAGGAAGATGCTCCGGTGAAGACCCCTCTGCATGTCGCTGACCTCGGGGGGACAATCCAGCACCGCATCGAACTTGCGAGGGGCAAAGCGCAAGTAGGAATCCAGACACTTGTGAAGCGTCTCATCAAATATCACCTTGCACAGCCAGGGACAAGGGAACAAAGAAGGGAATGTCACACATCCACAGGTGTGGCTCAGGGGAAGGCCACTGAAATTTGAAAGTGATTTAAAACATTCTAGAGGGCGAAAAGGAGTCCCACATGCAGCAAATACAAGCAAACTCTTCAAATCCACAGGGAAAAAGCTACTGAGACTTTCTTTGCACTCTAAGGTGCAGTAATTCAGATGCTTGACAAGTGATGCAATTCTAGAATCAGCCAGGTTGGAAAAGGCCTTTAAGCTCATCAAGTCCAACCTTTATCCCAGCACAGCCAACGCCAACCCTAACCCGTGGCACTGGGGGCCTCATCTGCGCAGCGTGTGAACACTTGTAGAGATGGAGGTGCTGGTGCAGCACTAGTGCCCGCTGGGGGCTCAGAGGGAAGCCAGGTCATTAAGTGCATAAGAAGCATATACAAGTCGTTATGAAACTGGTTTAAAGTTCATGGCTTCTAGCAGCACCTTCTTCAGTGTCCACAAAACAATTCTTACCTGGCACCAAAATTTGTCATGAGGCAAAGCCAGAAGCCAGTTCAGGTCATCTGCAATGAATTTGGCTCTCTCCAAGAACTCTTCCACTAAAGCAGGGTCTCTGGCGAGGGGCGGCGGTCTGTATAGCACAAAAGACCGATCTGCTTTTATTTCTGGGTGCTGCAGAAAGCCAAAACACTGTATTAAAACTACAGATCAAGAGACAGGAA